GTTGGGTGAAGCAGTTGTGGGCAAATATTGCCCCCGGTCAAGGGCTGAAGGACCATTTCGTTCTACCACGGCGTGTCTTCCGGCTGACATTCTGGCGACATGGGCGGGTCCCCTGGTCGATCCGGAGGCCCTTAGAGGGATACATATGCCACACTGGTCCCCTCCCTAATGCGAGAGGCCTTTTGCCGGCGCAGTTGGCCTCAGATCGACGCGAACAACCCTTAGTGAGCAGCAACATCCCTGATCGGACAGGTGGCCAAATGATTGGCACATAGACCCCAGTTCGGCACGGGCCCATGCTTGAGTGGGTTCGAAGCCCAACGTTCGGTACTGGGGGTCCTGACTGACATAAGACTTTTCCATTCCTCAGTATGAAGTCACCATAAGCTGCCATGTTTCATAGGCTGTCACTGTCCCCTAAGCTGTCACTGTCAGAGGCCCAGACAAACGCAGGAGGCCTCTGTCACTCAGGGTCCCGTCCCGTCGCTGCTCAGCACATCTTTCTCTGACCACCTTGGTTCCGCTTGTTGATACAGTGTACCTGTCTCGGCACTGTGGACCCCTGAACGATACAAGAGCCCCGCATTGTTGCATGGTCCCGACCAATGCAACTCGTGGGCCCGGCCATGTCCCTGTTTGGGAAATGAGCCCCGGGATTTCAGAACCTCTCATGAGCCGGCTGTTCGGTGTTAGTGATCTTTGGTCGGAATAACAGCACTCTCTGTCTCAGGAGTCTCCAATCGGTACAAAAGGCCCATTTAATGTCGTTTGAGATCACGGCCTACAGGACGGGGGCCTTTTGCCCGTCCCCGCCCGTCATTCCGATCTTTATATAACCTATAACAGACCCTTCGGGCCCTTCGGTCCTCCAATCAGGACCCTTGATCTGTGGTCTCGAGACCCTTTGGCCCTTCTCCGGACCTCCTCAACAAAGCCCGCCGTGACCTTGTTCCTGCTTGCGGAACTGTGCGGCTCCAGGTTTCGAACTCTAACAGGGAGCCAGCGTTCCGCGATCGTGGCCTCTGACAGACTGAGACACCCACATTGTCCCAGGGGTCCTCAAACGGTGCAAGAAACCTCTAACTGATATTTCATGTCACGACCCTAGGGGACGCGATTCTTTGTGTAACCTACAGCCAGTTTTTCGGGCCTTATGTCGAACCGAGCCCTTGATTGACGATTTTGGTAGGTCTCCCAGGCCCCTCTTCAGGCATAATCGAACACTACATTTGGTCTACTCAGACCCCTTTGCAGACAAAGGACTCTGTGTTGGGCACTGTGACCCCTGACAGACACGGGGACCCTAATCGGTTGTAAATCTCTGGCCCAGGTTTTGTGACTGACTGAGAAGTGACCCCTCAGGTCCGTACCCGACGCGGGGCTGACTTTGGTGGTGTCAGTTTTAGTCAGACACCGCCCTCAGAAAACGCCTTTGCAGTTTTCAAATGCTACGCCTCTGTACGTGGACGCATACCCTAGTAATGTGCGAGGTGAGGCGGTGTCTCACCAATGCTCTCCCCACAATGGAACGTAAGGAACACGAGGTGCAAGGAACTGCACGAAAACATGGTTGGAACAAAATTAGATCATAGTTGGTTTCATTTCCCATCTGAAGTAGCTGAATCTCACTCGAAATACCCGAGTGTCAGGCCGAAGAGTCGACAAAAAACGTCGGGGTGGGCTGACGTTTCTATGTGATGTAAAGTTGTCGTCTGTTTAAAACTTTGTCGCAGTGCTGCACCAATCAGTTGTCTTACAAAGAGTTTTATGCCACTCAAACGGCCCTGTTGTCAGCCTTTTTTTGCAACGCATTTCCATGCCGTGCTTTTTATCAGACGGTTAGTTATACTCGGGTGATGTAAAATTGAAGAAAAAAAGAACGCCAGTGGCGGCCTTCTTTTTTACAACATTGCCTACAGTTCTGAACCTGAACAGAACACATTCTGACCTGTAAAGGCCCATTCTGATATGTAACGACCCATTATTGACTGTGGCGGGCCCATCCGCTGGCCTTTACAGCGCCAATTCTGACCTTTAAAGAGGTCATTCTCGCCTTAAGAGAGCTTGCTCTGGCCTGTAGATGGCCCATGAAGACATGCAAGACCACCATGTCTTGAAGAAGACTCAGTTATTTGCTGCCGAGAGTTTAAATCCATTCTGACTTGTAGAGAGCTCATCCTGGGTTGTAGGGGCTCACTTTCTATTCTCAGAGGGTTAGTTTTTGCATTTTGGCTTGTCCAAACTTGAATATAGTGGCCTGCGCCCACGCAACCAAATCCCCTTCGGCTACATTGCCGCCGGCTGCATGCGAGGCGTGATCAGCGCGGCGATACGTAGTGCATCACGGGGGCTATGTTGGGCTGCGTCTGCGGCTGGCCTGGATCCTAGGGACTGAGGCTAGGCCTGGGCCTGGGACTAACGCTGAGCCTGGACCTGGACATGGGCCGAGACAGGGACTGCGGTCTGGGCATGGGCCTTTGTCTGGTACTGCAGCTAGGCTTGGGATTGGGGCTGCGGGCTGGACCTGGGCCTGGGCCTGGGGACTGCGGCTAGGCGTGGGCCGGGGACTGCGGCTAGCGTAGGCCTGGGACTGCGGTTGGACCTGGGACTGCGACTGGGTCTGGGTCTGGGTCTGGGCCTGGACCTGGGACTGGGACTGGGACTGGAACTGGGCCTGGGACTGGGTCTGGGCCTGGAAATGGGACTGGGGTTGCGGCTGGGCTTGGGCCTGGGCCTGGGGGTGGGACTGGCACTGCGGCTGGGGCTGGATCTGGGCCTGGGCCTGGGCCTGGGCCAGGGCCAGGGTCTGGGCCTGGGCCTGGGCCTGGGCCTGGGTCTGGGTCTGGGTCTGAGTCTGGGCCTGGGTCTGGGTCTGGGTCTGAGGCTGGGGCTGGGACTAAGGCTGGCACTGAGGCTCGGGTTGGGGCCGGGGCTTGGGCTGTAGCTGGGCATAACATGGCCAGCAGCGGCGGATTTCTGGAAGGCGGGGTAGAGTTACCCCCTGCCCAGTCCGGGCAACATTTAACAAGGAGACATTACACATCCCGAAAAGGGCAAGTTACGTCGGTGTCGGTAGTGACAGACCCTCTGTGGAGACCAGGCTGGAGGTTACAATTCTCGGTGCAGGGCCGGTCGCAGTCCTAGGCCCAGGCCCAGCCGCAGTCCCAGTCCAGACCAAGCCGCAGTCTCAGGTCCAGACTCAGTCGTGGTACCAGGCTTGAGCCCAGCCACAGTCTCAGGTCCAGACTCAGCCGTGGTACCAGGCTTGCGCCCAGCCTCAGTCTCAGGTCCAGACTCAGCCGTGGTACCAGGCTTGAGCCCAGCCATAGTCTCAGGTCCAGACTCAGCCGTGGTACCAGGCTTGAGCCCAGCCATAGTCTCAGGTCCAGACTCAGCCGTGGTACCAGGCTTGCGCCCAGCTACAGTCTCAGGTCCAGACTCAGCCGTGGTACCAGGCTTGAGCCCAGCCATGGTCTCAGGTCCAGACTCAGCCGTGGTACCAGGCTTGAGCCCAGCCGCAATAAGCCCAGGCCCAGCCGCGGACGCAGTCGCATCACCAGCCCAGCCCTGTGGTGCACTACTAGAGCCGCGCTGATCATGTTACACGTGAAACTGATGGCGATGTAACCGAGAGATTTAGGATGCAGGGGCGCGGGAACTATGTCCCAGCTGGAGGGTGACTTCAAAATGCCAAAATGGGCCCTCTAAGATTAGAAAGTGAGCTCCTACAAGCCAGGATGAGCTCTCGACAAGTTTAAATGGAGTTCAGCTATCGACAGTAAGTAATGATCCTTCTTTAGATCATAATGTATCTGCACGTCTTAATGGGTCATCTACACTCAGCGCAGACACACTCTTGGGCCATCTACACTCAGTGTAGATGACCCATTAGCCATGCAGACTCCATCAGTAGTCTTCAGGCCAAAATGGGTCTTTCCAGGCCAGAATGACCCTCTTAAGGTCCGAATGTAGCCTTTACAGGTCAGAATGCCCCGCCACAGTCAATAATGGGCCGTATACAGATCAGAATGGGCATATGCAGGCCAAGATGATTCCTTCTCAAATTCAGAATTGCTCTCTTTTGGTCAAAAGGGACCTTAAATAGCCCAAAATAAGCCCTCGACAGGCCAGAATGGAAGTTGCATGCAACCTCCAGTTTTCAAATTTGGGAGGGGGTGAGCTACCCCACTGCCCCCCCCCCCCCCTCTGGTTAACGTGTCCTTGTTTGGGTGCCATTCCCGCCCTTGGAGGAGGTGTATGCTCCGGGAGCCGGTGTTATCAAAATCAACTCGCGTTGTTTGCTTTACGAAGACCTGACTCGTTCCCGTTTACCTATACGTCTACGCGACTCAGTTGTACCACCCATGTGGCTTCCGCGCTCGACACACGTAATTACTTTGTGTCAATACTGTGTATAGCATTAAGTTTCAAAAGCGCGGGTTCAAAGCTCCTTTAAGCTTTGCAGCACATTATTGCCCGCACTGGAATTTTCATACATGCCCAAATAAATATGCGGTGATGTAAATATTATTTTCAGATGGTACAAAAGTATCGCCAGCGACCACACGCATCCCTTAAGTGACACTTAAGTTGATTTGGTAAAAATCCCTTTTCTAGTAGATGAAAAATTAAGTTTGAGTTAAGTACGTTACCTCTGCGCCATATATGCATTCGGCCCTTAGCTGCAGCCAGGCTCATGTACCATGTGCCTGTGGGACATTCACAAATCTACCGGTCATCTGAGCTCAGGCTGGGGCGGTATGAGTTAGGCTGGTGCAGCTGGACGAAAGCTATCTAACTGACATATCGCTGTATGAGTGCAGAAGGTACGCAACTTGTTGAGGATTTTGCTTGCACGCTTTACATATATCTGATAAGGCAGTGACAGTAGCTCTTCCAGGCTGGTGATATAATGCTAAATTGACTGTGCTATCATTGGAGACCAGTTCCCTGTTACACGTACCTGTTTCCCATGCAGAAAAAAATAGGTTAAGATGAGCATGACTGCATAGGAGTGTTCTAGCAGCATTTTGCAGGGTGTGCATGAGGCAAATCTTGAGTCAAGTTTGGCTCATTTACCACCAGTTTAAGCTTGCATAGGGGTGATGAGTGTTAATTGAGGCTCACACCAGCTTTTGGAATACATAATTTATTTCTAGGATGACCAATATCATGCCAGTCTGCTAAAGGTGGTAGACCAGTCAACAAAATATTTGGTTGGTCTGACCATGCCCCAAATGGGACAGCCAGTTTCTCTGCTTGGGACAGGTTGATGATATTTGATGACAAAGGATTTCTCAGATCTTGCATGTGTGTGTGTGTGTGTCCACAATGCATATATTTCCTTAACTGAAACCATTAGATTCTGGGTTTCAAGACTGCCAATAGGAAGCTAGGAATCCAAGCACTTAGTATCATATCTGCAAATGTGGCTTTCCACTCTGGACATAGTGCAGAATCCACATATATCCTTAAAATTTGAAAACTGATGACCTCCAATAGTGTATTATCATTATATCCATAGGCCCAATGACATCTAAAGGTCCAAATTCATTGTCTCTTTGCTCCTTGCCTTTCCCTGGTGATTGACACTTATCACATCATATGAATGCTATCTATGTGGTACAGTTGGTCTTGTATTGGCTTGGTCTTGTCTACAGGATGGTCTTATTCTGACACAGATGACAGTGGCATAGCTCATTTCAGATGGTGGCAGTGTGTAGTCAGGTAACCATGGACAGTACCTTGGCCTTAAGCAGCCAGAAATATAGCTTGATAGCATGCCTCACAAAACTGCCTCTGGAGCCATGTATGCGTAACATAGATTCTGAGCTCTTGACAGGTGACATGAAATTGATGCTTTGAAACATTCACCAAGTTTTTTAACTATCAGGTCCATTAGTTAAGAATGTAGCTGCAAAAATAACTTGAGGCTGGGAATCATGTGACCCTTCATGAAAATATATTTAGTGATTGCTGGTCTCAGTTGCAAGGTACTCTGAGTGTTATTTTCAGTCTACATCACATTGATTGGCACTCCCACACTGGTCCTTGTTTTCACAGGTGATTGAAATATCCTAGATGAATATGTTTCTTCATTTTTTTGGTTCATTTTTTGGCACTGCTTCACTGTTTGCAGTTATTGAACACTCCTTGATGTGCTGTTTCACTGGGCTAAGCCCAATCTTATCTACTTTTGGAATGAAGATGGCCTCACCACCAAAGCCTTGGAATGAACTTGAACCCTTCTATATCCAAAGGAGGCTATATCATTCCTGAGTATTCCGGTTCTGGTGCCAAGGGAAGTGTTCACCTGAGACTGGCCAGAGCTGATCAGCACCTTCCCTGCTTCAGGCCATGGATGCGGACGCACTGCCGCCAACATCACCCTGGAGGCGGGTCATGACCATGGCAGTATCCTCCACATGCCAGCAGGCAGGTTTCACCAGCATCGAGCCATCAGCACTGGCTACACTTACTGAGACCTTCATCAGCTGTGAGTATGGGCATAACAACCACTGGAGTCATTTGGGGTCTGGACCCTGGTAACTCTTGGGCAGGTGGAACCATCTGTTGTGCTTTTGCTACATAGAAAGACACCAATGCAGCAATGGACCTCAGTGACATTTAAGGTGTGGTTACATCCATGGCTGAGAATGGGACATGGTGTTGTGAATATGTTGAGTTGCAGAAGGAGAAAGTTTGTTTTATTGTGTTTTAGAAAAAGAGAAACTAAGAGGTAATGTTGCTGATGCAGTTTGACAGAATAAGGTACCATTCATAGTGATGTTCAACACATTAATGTGAACCACTTCATTTGAAAAGACACCCTACCATGTGTTTGCAAGCATTAGTACACTTTTCCCGCTGACCTGGAGAGCACCATATAAGTAATGAGAAACAAGTGATTTTTCTCGACTGAACAAGGCATGCGCACCCCATATCTCCACAGTGTTGAGAGAGCTGGCGCGCAGCAGCAAGGCGTATAGTGACCTGGCGTGTCGCAGTGACCTGGTGGTCGGCGATATTGTACTGGCGCTGGTCGACGCCGGCTTCAGCGTCGCATCGCTGACGGTCAGTGTGCCGCACCGCCACCTGCGGCAACAATTGGTGTGACAATATGGGACACTGCCGTAAAAGTAAATTTCCTAAATTCGTGCTGTCGGAAATTACTTCCTCAATACAGTGCAATGGGTATGTGGGTTTGGACAAGACATGTAACTTTTCCCAAAATATCAGCCCGCTGCTCGGCCCTGCCGGCCCGGCCAGCCAAGAATCCAGCCCGCAAAAGCCTGCCGTGCTACAATGCTGACCCTACATTAACCGAAATACCAAATTAGTTGCAGGGTTGCGTTTTTCATTTCTCCTTGATTTTAGACCCGTGCACAGCATGCACATAGAATGTAATGCCGGTGTATGGATGCAGAACATTGTTTGGCTAACACCAATGATGTGGATTAGAGAGCACTGATCAATACACCGGGAATGTGGGATGCCTGTTGTAACAAAGTAGATCACAGCACGGTGTTGGCAGATTGCAGTTAGTAATCAGAAGAAAGAGTGTGAAATTTAAAATGGCCTCACCGAAATACACCACATATTTCACACTTCCTCCCTATCTCAATAGACGACATGCAATGTCTTCTAAAATTGCGCGCAACAACTGATGGCTTTGGACCTACAGAGTAAAAGAAAAAAAATACTGGATGTTTCAAGTCATGGGAAGTCTTCTCCCGTCAGTACACTGTCCAGAATTACAAGCACCATCAAATGCATCTTCATGGCAATGGCACAACCTCCATTCAAAAAACAGATGCAGGCCATTGTATAGTGTTTCCTGTCCTGAAAGGGAGTGCTCTACAGTTGTATGGGATTTTGAACTGGGAGAGCCATGTTGAGGTTATTCAGTGCACTTGGCGTCGTCATGTGCTATGCGATAGTCTCGGCGCCGTGCCGGTGTGCGGCGCCACTGTCTGTGCGCGCTCTGCGTCGCGCCGCCCGCGTGGCCGCTGTCTGGCGGAGCTAGGCCGGCCGGCCGGGCGGGACGCACGCTGACCTCTCCCTCCCCGCCGCCGCAGGAGTACGCGCGCCGCAAGACGCGCTCGACGCTGCCGACGCCGCTGCCGTCGGTGCCGACGAAGCAGCCGTCGACGCTGCAGGTGGGCGAGAAGAGGGGGCACCCGGCGCACATCCCCGACCACCTGCCGTCGTTCCCCGACAGCCACGCCTATGTGCAGACGCCGACGCACAAGCAGCCAATCACCAACTACGAGGCCGTCCGCGAGAAGGCGGCCAGCCAGAAGCGCGACATGGAGCGGGCGCTCACGCGCTTCATTGCCAAGACGGGCCCCGTCGACCGGCTGTTCGACACTGACGAGCAGGCACAGTTTCCGCGTGAGTAGGCGGCTCGTGATAGCCGGGAAAGCGGAAGTGATGTTGCCGGTTATTTTGACCTCGTGATGATTTCGCCAGGTTTTGACGACGACGCCGGCCAACTTTGTCAGTGCGAGGCGAGTACAAAATGTCCATGCTTCCAATACGACAGCGTTTTATTCCATAGATGTGCGGCCGAAGGTTAAGTGCGAAAGATGTTTTGGATGATTGTGAGGATTTTAGCAGTCGATTTCTGCTTTCCGAATAGTATTTACGTTTGCCTCAGGAACCACAAAATTGTAGAATATTGTTGGCAGGTCATTTCTAACAGCTGAACATTTGTCGCATCTGGTTACATCATCCCATCATCTTCTAAAGCTGTGAGCTGGTATCATCATCCCATCGTCATTCTCCAAAGCTATGAGTTGGTAGCTATCGCTGGCTGTGCTGACAGGCGCCAGCTCCCAGTCGTCGTGCGCCGCGACGTCACCGATCTTTTCCCCGTATGGCTTGTCGGATGTGTGCCGACGTACGCTTAAAACCACAAACCGTGATGTATGGCTGGCGCTGGTGGAACGGCCAGCGCGCTGGTCTGGTGCTGGGCCGGGAGCACTCGCTTCCAGCCGAAACAGTCGTAGTTCCCGGCAAGGAGGGGGCCGATGGCCCTGTCCTGCGCCTGCACTGCACGCTTAAGTTTTCTCGGCCTATCTGGCGAACAGGCTTGAGTGCATCTTTCCTAGCCGACTTGCGTGGCATGGTCCCGGACCACTCAATAAGCTAGTGCTGACAAGAACACCGCGTTTCCAGTACCACTCGAGGAGGTTATCCATATGGCCAAATTTGTGTCGGCGCCAGATCCTTAGTTTCTGTCATTCCTACCGTAGTCTTTTTCCTTTGTTGGACTCGATGCAAATTCCAGTTGTTTGTCACTTTGAAGGCCGTTCCTAGTAAAATATCAAACTGGCATATTTATTGCTAGCTGGAGTCTGGTGTCGGACTGAACTCGAGCCAGCGAACAGCAATGAATCATAAATAGCTAGTCTGGTACTCGGGCACTACATGGTTCAAGGGCTTGGCTGCCGCCGCTCCCGGCGTCACCTTGATTTCACACTGCTAGGATGTGAGCTTGACAGGTATAACTTCTAATGTTTATTGTCCGTTCCTGAAATTCCCCGGATTGCCCCCGGGAAGGAAACTATCACAGGTCTTTCAAACAAGGTCTTAAACCGGTGCAAAAACCCCAATCTGTAGAGAAATTGGTGCCCACCCCAGCCCACCTCACCGCGTTGTACCTCCGTCTCTTCTCCGATGAAGTCGCGTCCGCTTACTGATGAGTGAGCCGACATCGAATTCACCCGTGTGTGAACTGCGCTGTAACTTCACATACGACCTGGTACTCCGCCGTGACCTACCTAGCGCACCATTTTAGTGACCCAGCTTTTACCTGAGCGCCCTGTTTCAATGACTACGCCGTGACCTGAGCGCCCTGTTTCAGTGACTCCGCCGTGACCTGAGCGCTCTGTTTCAGTGACTCCGCCGTGACCTGAGCGCTCTGTTTCAGTGACTCCGCCGTGACCTGAGCGCTCTGTTTCAATGACTTCGCCGTGACCTGAGCGCCCTGTTTCAGTGACTCCGCCGTGACCTGAGCGCTCTGTTTCAATGACTTCGCCATGACCTGAGCGCCCTGTTTCAGTGATCGCCTGCCGGCCGATCGTTAGTCCGTACCTGCAGGCACTAGATCCGCGCGACCAGATCTTCGAGGAGGAGGAGGCGTACGTCCCGCGCAAGCGAGCGCGCCCCGCCGAAGAGCGCGACGACGAGCCGGCGCCGCCTACCGAGCTGGTCGACAACCCCTACCTGCGGCCGGCCAAGATGCCGCGCAAGCGCAAGTGATAGCGGGTGTGGGACACGGCGATGTCGCGGCCGCGCGCCGTCCCTCGGTGTGTGGGGGCTGGCATTTAGCCCTGCGTCTCGCAACTGTTCTCCCGTGGAGACGGCTGTGGCGGCCGTGTGTGGTGCAGACCGTGCCGTGGTTCGCTGCGGTGGCCGCGCGAGGCGCATGGAGGCCTCCACGACGGACGGCCGAGAGGGGAGGTGTGGCGGCCGTGTGGCGGTGTGGGTGTGGACTCGTGGAGTGCGTCGGGTCGCAGGGGAAGTGGACCTTGTCCACGCTGTCGCCTTTCTGCTCAGCTGGTCTGGTCGTCCTTACATTGTGTGCCACAGACATTAATGCGGAGAGTAGTGGGGTGAGGCATTGCTGCCTTCCCTCTCTATCTAGGTTCTGCCGCCTCCGACATTGATGACTGTGCTGGCGAAACGCTTTTCATGTAAAAATGAGCTGTGTGCGCTCTAGTGCATGGTCATTTGTAATGTATGTGAACCGTCCAGGGCATTAAGGGGAAAACAGTCGATAAAACTAGCCATGTCTGAACTATTGACGAGCTGTGTTTTGACAGTTGCATATGCATTGGATGGTTCAATCAAGGCGTGCTTTTTTATGAATGTAGCTAGGAAAGCGATCAATCGGCCACCCGTTGCTCTGTCGTTTGGGAGGTGGTTTTCCACCGCTTAGGCAGATAACCGTTCGGACTTCACTAGTAGATCTGAAGACTGCAACGGTCGAAATTCTGCTTGTCTCCGAGAGTTGCATTCTCACGTTCATGATGCCAGTATAAGTGGCGACACACGCTACGCTCCGTAGATCGTCCACCTCTAATTTTTTCTTGTAGTTTTTTTTTAACGGCGAACCAAATTGTTTCATCCTTGGTTGCACGGTCGGGGGGCGGGGGGGGGGGGGGGGTGCAGCACGCCAAGGACGTGACGACAGTCTTGAGTGCGACCTGCGTGGTGCAGGAGGATTAGTTATATAATTCGATTCGTGAAGCAAATTTTGGGACAATGTACCATGTGGACACTGATCCATGAAGGCGATTATTTGGGTCCGTAGGTCTTACGTGAGTGATGAAAAGGGCGTAAAACATCTCATCCGGGGTGCGATTTTGGCCTGGGATTGTTGTTTAACTGAGAAGCTTGAAGCTGGGATGTCTGCATCTATGGGGAAGGACTGACCTGCCACTGCCCCCCTCCCCCCCCCACAGTAGTGGGTTTTTTACATTATGCGTATAGATGTAAATGCAGCAGTCACAATAAACTCACCCCGCCGGCGGCCGGGCTTGCCTCCCAGGGGAATCTGTCTGGCCCCTCCCCTTTTTGAAACGGGCCTTCGTCTCTGCATACCTGACCTTAAGTAAATTAGGTTTGCTGTAATCCTAACTTTGGTTGTTGTATTGCCTAAGGAACAGTCTCGTAGATGTATGGCTTGACTACCACTTCGTTGTCTCATCAGATTAAACGATTCCCTAGAAATTGCCTTTACTGACAGCCACGCCTGATTTTGACCTGTCATAGGTCAGCAACCTTAAAGGGAATGCTTCTCATTTGAAGATATTGAAGCAAGGATCAACTATATTGAAAGAGGCTCATTTATAAATATTCGTATACTTTCAGCTGGAAAAACTGCCATAGATAACACAATTTCTCTGTTAAGAAAACATGCCGCTGGATAGGCCATTGCTTGATTACGTCATCGGACCTTGCATGACATTGATTGAGAGCCAATTGACCACGGATATATCTAGAAATCGTGCTCACGAAACGACATATATGAACGAGCAGCCATCCATATTTTCTTGGCCTTGATCAGCGCGTGGCTTAAATAGTGACAGGATTTGAATGACCATATGAATGCGCCATGGATGCTCGGATGACCTTGAAATAGTCTCCCCGAAATAAACCGCACATCTTCGCGGGCGTGTAGTTCAGGACCAGGAACAGAACCGAATGATCCTCAAGACGGCCATTTCAATTTAAAATCCCATATAAATGTGAAACAGTCGCTTTATGAAGGCACATCGGATTTTTAGACCAAAGGATCTTCTATTTAATTGCTTACTACAGCTATGCACAATTTGGTGCGGCTACGCCACGCTAAATCAAACTGCAATTATGCAAGGGGGGGGGGAGGGCGGGGCTAAGCCGGCCCCTCCCATCCGAGCGCGAGTTAACATTTGCAGGCCCCGGCAGTAGCGCAGGCAGGGGGCACAGGGAGCACGTGACCCCCTCGCTTAGGTCCCGCGGGACCCGAAGGTTTCCTCGAAACCAACGATTAAGGGCCCGAATTGAGGGCCTTAAAGGAATGCCGGAGGTCGCACGCAGGGGCCCCGGCCCGCAGTACTGGCCACTCCAATGTCAGCCAGAGGGCCCTGTGTGCTGGGCCCATATGTCAGTCAAACACCACCAGAAACGCAAAGTCGGGAACAAAGCCGGAACCAGCGATTTAGATTGGTCGCGGCCCCAGCGTCTGTCAGGGCCCCGCAGTCACTGACGGGGGTCCTGTGTTGACAAGGGGTCCCGAGTCGGTCAAAGGTAGTGTTCGAGGAGGCCTCAAGAGGCTATAGGGCTCATCGGGTCCGACGGTCAAGAGCCTGATTGGAGGGTCTCAGGGCAAGAGGGTCTGGTCAGATTCTTATTTAGGGGCCCGGCCTGCGGGGACAGGCCCCGAGATAACAGAGAGAGGACCCTTTGCACCGATCGGGGACCCTCTAAGTCGATATGGGCCTATATATTGGTCAGGCACCACCAGCACCGTGCAGTCGCCTCCGTACCGCTAGGGGCCTGAGTGTCTGCCCACTTCCCAAGCAGCGACAAAGCCGGGACCAGTGATTTACACTAGTCGTGGCCTTGTATCTGTCAGGGGCGTACAGTAACTAACAAAGGGCCCTGTGCTCACAAAAGCCCCGAGCCGGCCAAGGGAAGTGTTCGATGAGGCCCGAAGAGGGGCCCTGGCGGCCCACTTGAACCGACAATCAAAGGCTCGATTGGAGGGCATAAGGTCCCGAAAGACTGGCTGTAGGTCACGTGAAGAACCGTGCCCGTAGAGATGTGGCACGGAATATCAGCCAGAGGTCATCTTGCACCGTTTGAGGACCCCCTGAGACAATGCCGGTGTCCTGGTCGGCCAGGGACCACGAACAGCGAACATTCGGCTCCATGCCCGTCTGAGTGCTCGAGACCCATTTCCCAAGTAGGAATGTTGCTGTAGCCCGCGATTTGCAATGTTTCAGGTCCCTGACGCAATGACGGGGTCCTGTGTTGGTCAGGGACCACAGTGCCTAACAGGGGTCCTGTGGCGAAAAATGATCCCGAGTCGGGGCGGTCTTTGAGACGGCCCGAAGAGGGGCCGAAGGGTCTCTTGAGACCAAAGATCAACGATACTGTTGGAAGGCTGAAGCGTCCAAAGGGCTGGCTGCAGGCCACATTTAGGACTACCGACGATGGTACTGTGATCTCAAATGTTAGTAACAGGACCTCTTGCACCGATATGGATCGCTAAAACGGAGCGTTCAGAGATCACCAACAACGAACAGTCGGTTCCGTGTTGGCCTGAGCTCTGGGGCCCATTTCTCAAGCAGGGGCAGGACCGTGGCCACGATTAATATTGTCGGGGCTCCTGTATCGGCCAGAGGCCCACAGTGCTTAACAGGGTATTCTGTGTCAACAGAGAGCCCTGCATTGGCCGGGGTAATATTTACTTAACAGGGACGCGGACGGGACCCGAATGATGGGGACCCTTTTGCGTTGGTCGGGGACTTCTGACAAGGCAAGGAAACCTGAAAACTGATGGTGAGTGCTCACAATGAAGCAATGGAATGGTCCTGCGCCGGTCAGGGCCCCCAGCGCCGAACGGTGGTCCCTCCAACCCAATTCCAACATGGGCCCATTAAGCCGAACTGGAGTCTTATGTGCTAAATATCTGACCACCTGCGGTGAACGGGCATATTGTTGCGTCAATGACGGTTTCTGCGTCGATCCGGGGTCAACTGCGCGGGTCAGAGGGCCTCCCGCGTCAGGGGGCGGACCAATGTGATTTGATGCATCCCTCTAAGGGCCTCTGAATTGGCCAGGGAATCCCACCCGATGTCGCCAGAATGACGGGGCGGATACACAACGCGTTGGGACCGAATAACCCTTTATTCCTTGACCGGGAACAATAATGTGCCCTATAGTGTTGCACCCAGGAGGTCCTTTTCCCAGAAAGAAATAAGGGGTCACATTAGTGTTGAAGGGAGTGGGTCGAAATTAGTTAAAAACGCACAAAGGCTATCCCACAGTGAACCAAAAAACATAAAAAAGTCTGAGGCTGCTTGCCGGGTGCCGATGGTGCAGCGGTGCAGAGGTTAACGCATCTGCTTCAACCATTGTGCGTCTGGAAACCAGCGGTACGTGGTTCGATTCCCCGCGGTGCCCGCCCTTCCTGCCAGGGTGAGAGGCAGGCGACGCCATATAGCCTAAGCAGTTGAGTACGTTTTAGAGCTCCAACACCACCCCGGCAACGTCCGGTAGAACGGACAGCCTAAGCCATCGCGGTTTGGGCCACAGTTTCCGTAAAAGCGATCATCGTTGGCCATTGCAAGTAACGCCAAGCGACGGGCCCCGTGCGCGCAGCGACCACCGTGAGATAATGTTTCTGAATTTCTTTCAAAATTTATTCGCACAGATCAATGATAACACTGAGGGCATCTTTTTGTTACAACTGCGAGGTTGGTCTCCGGACAGATTATAGTTATAGCAGCACGGAAAAATAGAGATTCTATCTTTTCCTGTTACAGTTCCACCATCAGATTCCAGCACTACTTCGCGGTGCTGGTAAGGCGAAACCATTATTATATTAATCTAAAAATAGCACAGGTAGAATGTACTTCCAGATTATCTCGTATTGTCATGATTCATATCATGGAGCGCTTAGAGGTACTTCTTCGAATGCGTCATCATCTGTGGCGCTGAGCGGTTGAAGCAGTTACACTGGAATCAGTGTGAAAATGATGGGCGCCGAGGATATATTCATGCGGGCCGTTTTATATGCGTATTTTTGCTTTTTGTTTATTGACAATAAACGTTCGGGCGACAAATGATTTTGCGGGAGTGGTCCAGCCTCTATTCCAGCCATGAAAGGTAAAGAATGTATGTGAATAATATATATACACACACACACACACACACACACACATATATATATATATATATATATATATATATTATTATTATATTTACTTATTATTATTATATTATATATATATATATATATATATATAAATCGCAAAGAAAAACATCTCATCGACAAAGCCACATCCATATCGGGGCCATATCCGGCTATTTCTTGAAGGGAGCTTTATTTAATTATCGGAGTCCCTCGTCAACCCTGAGCCCCACCCTTGCCAAGGCCTCGGCTGCGCACCTGGGCCCGACCCGCCTCCACATGGGATATTGGTCCGGCATCCAGACCGATGCGGGACAGACTGCTCGGTATTGGTCGCTCGGTCATCCGATCCCCACTGGCCGAGGTGCCCCCAACGGTGCGAGAGCACTCCCGACTGACTTTCGAGGGTCCGGCCTTCCGAGTGGGGTTCTTCCACGTGCCCGCTAGCCTAGCCTCCGAGCCCCCCGATCGGACCCTCAATCCTCAGCCCCGAGGGACTGACGCTAGACCCCTCGACCTGGGGGCGTATGCTGGGCAGGTCGGAACCAACCAGCCAGCCAGAAAATTTAGATTTTTTTGCAGGCACTGCAAACGTTTTTCTCCACATGTGGCGTACCCACGTTCACAGGGGTTTAGCGCGTGCTTTACACGGCCTCGTTCACCCCAGCCAATGAGTCAATTCGAATGATGCGTTCATTTGAAAGTAGATCCCATGGCGGGAAGCGCGACAAATATAGTATGACATTGTTTGCACTGTTTTGTACTCATTCGATTGTTGTCCAAACAGAAAGACGCAAAAATAAATACACAGTTAGTTTTCTTTTTAGGCTACTTGCATTGGCTTTAAACAACATTTTATCTCTATTTTCTGTTTTTGATGTCTTCTGCTTTGTAACAGAAGAAACATTAATTTCCCTGCGCTGCTTCAATATTCCGAACGCGCTTAAACTGCCAGCCGTCGCGTCACGGGTGGGTGGTGGAGGTTGGGTTGCGGCGTGTCTGCGGCTGTGCGGCTTTTGCGAAGTTTGGGAGCCGTTGGTGATATATTGTAAGGTTATTTTGGTTGAATTGGAGTCGACACGGTGTAAGCTGTCAAAATGAGGGAGATTGTGCACATGCAAGCTGGGCAGTGCGGTAACCAGATTGGAGCGAAGGTAAGTACATGGGTGCGAAAATCTGGCATTGCCCCCATTTCTACGCGGATTGCATTACTAGGATTCACCAGGGTAACGTGGATTAAAGTTCCGACCATTAGCGCGCCAGGGTTGCCTTGAGAGGAATGGAGAAGATCTGAGCTCACTGGATAGGTAGGCTTTGAGTACCCGGCCTCTCTCCAGTAACAAACTTCCTGTCGGGAGCTGTGTACGTGAAAACGAGCAGAAAAAAAAACGGCAAGGGGAGGGCTTCCACCCTCGGCTGCAAGCCTGTGGTACTCTGCAAGTAGACGCCACTTACTTTTGAGATACCGAAAGAGTAAGTTCGAATCAGGCTATTTTCTTGGAAACTGAGTGAAACAGTATTTGAATGATGTTGTTTCAGAAAAGCATGCCGTTTATGCCCCAAGTCCACCCATATATGTATCTAATAGCGGCGTCAGTCCCGAGCCCATGTTCTCGTACCGCGGGTCGTGTCGGTGGAGATGTCGCGCCTCTGCTCCTGGACGTGTAATTCGTTTATAGGCGTCAGCTGCTGATGACGTCAGAGCCCAGTGAATATTCCTTCATCTTTTCCTGCGCGATGTTGTTGACGTCATGGGGATACCAAACCATAACTGTATTCAAAAGTACTGAAATCTTTTATTACGCGATGTTGATGACGTAGCTGGGATACCAAACAATTCCTGTTTTCGAGGGTGATGAACTGTTGATAGAGGTTCACGCGTACGAGGCCGACTCGGGCCACCTGTCGCCGCACGGCTCTAGTTGGACACTATCCCCTGGCCGACACTGTAGCCCCTTATTGTGTCAGTGACACCCCGGACATTGCAAATTCATACGGGCATGGGGCTGGCTATTTGGCCCCGTGCCGAGGCTCTATGTAAAAAGGGTGAATAACCACAATAAGAGGGCGCTATTAGAAGTCCTATGACTGACATTTTAGGTCACGGCACTACCGAGTGGGAGGGTGGATCCGTGTCCAATCGGGCCCTTGATTTAAGGTCTCGAGGTCCGTCTTCGGGCCTCAAACCAAGCCCGTGACCGACTGGGCCCCCTACTATGCACTGTTGGGCCCCTGACCGACTCGGGGCCCCAACCACTTCCAGGGACCCAGACCAATGTAAGTCATGTCCCGCGATTTTGGCCCCGCTTGGGAGATGGGTCCCCAGGGTTCAGACTGACGGCAGCCAACTGTTTGGTGTCCGTGGTGCACGACCGACTCGTCTTGTCTCGGCGCACGTCTTGTCGAGGCAGCGGCATTGTGTCGGGGGGGGGGGGGGGGGTCCTCAAACGGTACAGGAGGGCCTCTGACCGATATTTCAGGTCGCGGCCCTGGGAACTGCGATATTTTTACGTAACCTATAGGCAGTCCCTCGGGGCCATGTGCTCTCAAACGGGGCTTATGATATCCGGTTCCGTTGGGCCCCTGGGCCCCTTTTCGGGCTCATTGAAAACTGCCCTTGGTTGGCTGGGGGCCCCTTGCGAGCACAGGGCCGCCTGTCAGGCGCTGTGAACCCCTGGCAGATACAGGGGCCCTGAACAGTGCAATTAACTGATTCCGGCTTCGTAGCTGACTAAGAAGTGGCCCCTCAGACCCACACCGCTACGGAGCGGGCTGTGCGGTACTGGTCGTGTCTGACCGACATATGGACCCACTTCTACTTAGGGTGTCCCTGATCGGCGCAAAGCGCTCTAACTACCATTTCAAGGTCTGTCCCCCACCCCGGCGCCCCTGAATAACAGCGGATTTGGTCAGCAAATAATCTTGGAAAATTATCCCTAATGATGGCAGGTTTTCTAGGTTCTACACCACCAACAGGAAAAAGTATCCCAGATACCTTTCTGTACCGAGGGAGAATCTCGGAAAATGTTCAGAGCATGGTGGAAACGAAGAATCCTTTTTCGCTACTCATTACTATGACCGTTGGCTGTGCGTGGCGCATCGGAGACAAATGTGGATTATTTCCAGACTGGTCGAACGCTAGTGGGGAATATCTGAGGATGGTTATCGGAGAGATAACTATTCGTTGAATAATTTTCCCACGGCCGAACGTGCCCCAAGACTCCGACCAATCCTCCGTGCCCTTAGACCATCCAATCGAGACGTCCGAAAGTTGGATCCGTCGGACCCTCCAGGCTCTTCGGGCTTTGTGTCTTGCGTGTTTGTGTTTTGCGTGTTTTTTTTTTTTGGAAAACCATTGTTGCATGTCGAGAGAAACATTTTGAATATCTTGGTTAATATTCGTACCATTTCCAGTCCCCACGATGTGACTCAATCGCAGATAATAGTCCAGCAAAATTTATTATGCAGTGAGCCATGCTGGCATTGCGCTGGCAAAACGAAATGAACAGAATAGGAAAATAAGCAAGTCTCTCATTTTTGTGAGCCGATTTTATGTATACCATGAGTGGTGAGAGTGGTATGGTGCCATGGTGTCATAACAATGGTTAGAGTAGGCAGTGAGCAAGCTAATGTGAGGTCAAGCTGGTTTGCTTGGGACGAGAATATATTGCCGCAAAGTGGTGCCAAATGCCTCCATTTAAATTTGATGTTACTTCTATCCGTCATAGAAGCGGTTGTGGGCATATTTTGCACTTGCGTGTTGGTCACGTAAAAGTGTCAGCAGAAATCAACGTTTGTACTTACCGCAACGCGCGGCGTAAGCTTTGGAGAGTAAGCACTAGTGTTGCGTAAGCGTCATTAAACCAGGTGATGTAACGCTAGTGTATAAACCCTTGCAAACCTTGGGTGAAACAAGCATCCGAGCGAACAGTGCTTGCCAAAGCAAGGGTGCCCTTCGAATAGTCATGCGAAACATGTGGGAGGAATCAGAGCCAAAGTTCAACGTTTCGTTGAATTTGCGTGAAAATCGCTATGAGCTATATATGTTTTTCGAGGAAGCAGGTATTACCGATCAGATTGCACCCGTATGATGTACGTAAGTGTGAAAAGTGAAAAAATTGAAATAGTTTCGACTAGTTGCACGCACTCAGCTGACCCCACCGAACTAGTTTTTGTGGTCGCAGATTTGGCGATGAATGAGCGCTTCTCAGCGTTCCAAGTATTCTGTTTTGGGAGCACCGACGTGGACAGATGACGCGGACAGATATCGGCCGCGGCATCACCCGCTTAGTCTCTGTGCGACATGTGTGAAAATCGTTCGGTCGGAGTTACGCAACATCTTGAGCAAAATATGGCAGCGTGAACCGAGCAAGACAATTCAGTTCGTAAAAACGTGAACATAGATGTGCTGTGCTACAAGAGTGTGTTCTTTTTTTAAAAATACGTTGTCTCCGACAGTTCTGGGAAGTCATTTCCGACGAGCACGGCGTTGATCCAACGGGCACGTACCACGGCGACTCCGATCTTCAACTGGAGCGCATCAACGTCTACTACAACGAGGCGTCTGGTACGCTTATGTCGGTGTGCCCTCGCAACCGTTGCAGTACGCCGGCACATTACCCTCTGCCCCATCAAGTTTCCAATGTGTAGACCTGTCAAAAGTGTGTGGTCGGGTTCGTTCGGGTCACTCATTCGGGCACACATCGTTGCACTTTCGTGATGCTTTTTGGGCCACTTCACAACCTACCCGCAATAAATGGAGACGGTCCAAGTGGGTGGAAGCATGGTTTGGCGCAGGCTTACGCGTAAGTCTTGTGGGTTTCTTGCGTTTGGAGAGTAAGGTTGTGTCCCTCGTATCTCTTGCTCTCAAATCATGCGTGGCTCGCGCCACAGCTGCACTGCTCATCTGCTCGGTGCAATGTTGTACAATTAAGGTAGTTTTATGCATCGATAGCTGTGGTGTCACCCGTGATAATGTGTGGTCCGTCGCGCGATGTAGCTTCCAGTTCTCTTTCGCAGGTGGCAAATATGTTCCCAGAGCAATTCTTGTCGATTTGGAGCCTGGCACAATGGATTCCGTCCGAGCTGGCCCGTTTGGGCAGATCTTCAGACCGGACAACTTCGTGTTCGGCCAAAGTGGTGCTGGTGCGTTGAAGCGTTTGAGTTACTTTTGGCTTACTCTCTGTCACGTACCATTGTGTGGTGGGTCGATACGCTGGAAGCCCAAAATGATATCACGGCGGAGATGAACAAATTCAAATGGGCGCTGGGGACGTGACTGGTTAAATGGCCGCAGTAGTTAACGTAATTTGGTCTTTTGTGCTGAAGCGTCGCTGCTTTGCAAGCATAATTCATGGGGTGGTTACCAGTGTTTTTGCTTCAAATTAGTTTTAACTATGTGTTGCATGCTGTTGGTGAGCAACTTAATCCTTACTGCTCAATGTAGCGATAACTGACGGCGCATCCATTGCAGGACCATAAAAATGCTTTTGATTTTTGTACTTCGTAAGTTTCTTATCTGTTATGACTGAAAGCTTTGTTTTCTAGGAATGATCCGCGCCCCGTTAAGAAAATCAACTGAACTTAAATTTGCGTTATTTCTGGTACCCGTTTAATAAGTAACGAACCGCGCCAAGCTCTCCCGGTTCGTTGCTCGTCTTAAAGCGTCCCAATTTGGGGTAGCTTAGGGCACGGTGATGCACGATTGTTGTCCACGTTGCTGTCCAGGGCTGCAACGCACCCGTTGTTTTTTTAGGGAACAATTGGGCGAAGGGTCATTATACAGAAGGTGCAGAGCTCGTCGACTCTGTGCTGGACGTGGTGCGGAAAGAAGCGGAAAGCTGTGACTGCCTACAAGGTTTCCAACTCACGCACTCACTGGGAGGTGGAACAGGGTCCGGCATGGGGACTCTTCTCATCTCCAAGATCCGCGAAGAGTACCCAGATCGAATCATGAACACCTTCAGCGTCGTCCCCTCGCCCAAGGTGTGTAATCGTGATATGACTGGCGCTGACCCCAACATCGGCGTGTGGGATAATTTTGCTCTGATGGCGGATAGAACCTGCACTGTGTAGTAATTTTATTCAGCTGGCGTTCTCGCAGCCAAATAGAGTTACAATTTGCGTAGTGATGAGTGGTGCATGTTGTAGTGTGCAAGATTTACTTTTCAACTTGGGTACTGCCTGGTTGGTGCACGACTGCAACTTTCATTTGGTACACATATTCCCAGTGTATTGGCCCGAAAGGGTTGCAGTCCTGCTGTGCTTGTTAACAGTTTGCATGACTTGATAACTGTCTGCTCACTGTTGGACACAAGTCAACAACGGATGCAGTCACAGATGTCACTATTTATGGTAACGGTTTATTTAAGTCTGTGGCATGGATGGTGAGGTCCGTCCCGCGGAGCTCACGTTGGGTTTTGTGGGGCGCATGTACGGATCACCGCAGTTATCGGTTGTCATCTCAGTGGATGAGAATGGTAAAGCATGGTGGGCTAGGATGTTAGTTGACCCATGATGGATTTGATCGCGGATGTCAGTGGTAGGTGATTGAAGCCATCATATTGTACGCGTGTTTCAGGTCTCCGATACCGTCGTGGAACCGTACAACGCAACGCTTTCCGTGCATCAGCTTGTCGAGAACACCGATGAAACGTACTGCATAGACAACGAGGCGTTGTACGACATCTGCTTTAGAACTCTGAAGCTAACTACGCCGACTTACGGAGACCTGAACCACCTAGTGTCCGCTACGATGTCAGGTGTGACCACCTGTCTGCGTTTCCCGGGCCAGCTGAACGCAGACTTGAGGAAACTTGCGGTGAACATGGTTCCCTTCCCGCGATTGCATTTCTTCATGCCTGGCTTTGCCCCTCTCACGTCCCGTGGTAGTCAGCAGTACAGGGCTCTGACCGTTCCTGAGCTGACGCAGCAGATGTTTGATGCCAAGAACATGATGGCTGCCTGTGATCCTCGCCATGGCCGGTACCTGACAGTTGCTGCAATCTTCCGCGGTCGGATGTCCATGAAGGAGGTTGATGAGCAGATGTTGAACATCCAGAACAAAAATAGCAGCTATTTTGTAGAGTGGATCCCCAACAATGTGAAGACGGCCGTGTGCGACATCCCACCGCGGGGGCTCAAAATGTCTGCAACATTCATAGGGAACAGCACGGCAATTCAAGAATTGTTCAAACGCGTGTCTGAACAGTTCACGGCAATGTTCAGACGCAAAGCATTCCTTCACTGGTACACAGGAGAGGGGATGGACGAGATGGAGTTCACGGAAGCCGAAAGTAATATGAATGATCTCGTGTCTGAGTATCAACAATATCAAGATGCCACCGCCGAAGAAGAGGGTGAATTCGACGAGGAAGAAGAAGAGGAGGGTGCTGAGCAGTGATTTGTCGTGGTATACAGGGTATACGCTTTTGTAAAATTGTACCCATTGGCCCTTTTGATAAGAGACCCATTGCAAGTCTTTAACAGGCAGCCGACGATTTTTGGAGAAATACCAGGGCATGCAGCGAGGTGTGATGGCGAAGCCACCTTGAATACACCTCGAATGTTCGTGATGCGGTTTGGTTTGGAAATCAGTGCGGAGATAGTCACCAATATGTTAAGCTTCAGTGCTTGCAAAAGTGAGTTTCGTGCGCAGGAAGTTGGGTAAAACGCTTCGCCGTTTATCGTATGCATTCTTCGTTTCCAGTTTGCAAAAGCAATGCCGACCTCAACCGCGCTCCCTGTTGTGTCTGGATGCGAGTGGAAATGTGAGACTACTGGTTTCTAGGAATGCACGCAAGATGACTTTGGCCAGGCGTTGGGGCCACGCGTGACGCATTTCCTGTCTTCACTGCGCCGATTTTACTCTGACGTCATGACGGGTCGCCCAAGAGTTTGGGGCGCGCCAGCCGAGCCAAATTGAGCGTGATGACGCCATCTATGACGTCACGGTGGGCGGTGCGGTGCACAAACGGGGTCGTATCCTCAGCTCTGCCGGCTTCAGGGCTAGAGCCTCGTATTGCAGGCAATCGGTGTAGGCCTGTTGTGCTGCTGAGCTGGCATCGCGGTCGGTATCAGAAATTTGGTTTTGGCTTCTGGGGAGGGAACACAATTCTAAAAATAGCGGCTTGAGGGAGAGCGGTATAGCGCAAGTGAGTTCGCACTGTGTATGGATCTGGTGCAGTGGGAATTTGGTGACAATGGTGGACAGGGGATACTACGCACTAGCTGGTCTCAGCGATTGTTAAAGACCACTGGGAATAAGCTTCTGGCGTCCTGAGCGCTGCCTTTCCCAGTGTACGCTCGTACCTACTGTGCTGGCGGCCACGAAGCTGGTGTAAAGTTGCTTATATTAGCGATTGTATTCTAAATGTGGGTCCACTAAGGCTGGTAGCAAGCAATGCTTAAAATGTGCACCTGTTGCGAAATTCTCTGGAGCATATGGCAAATTAATGATTGAAACGTCATGCGAGCCACAGTGAAGTAAACAGAAACATCGGGGAGAGGGAAGTTCGCGCAGTTTCCTTCCAACCAAGCGCTAATCTGTCACCTGAGGGGCAGATGCTGGGGCAATGTGATGCCCACCTTGGGACTGACCTAGATGTATTTAATTTGGGAGCGGACATATTTTCTTGTTCATTTGAACGGGATTCCAGCCCCTCCCCCAACTTTGAGAATTTGAGTCGAATGCAGGGGGAACATGGCTTGCAGTATTTAGTTACGTAACGGTTGTCTGCTCAACCTTCCACAAGATTAAGTACGAAACAGAACATTGTTAAGACATCAAGACTTGCGTGGTCGGGGCTCGGAAGTCACTGCAGCAGGGGCGGTGGAATTGTCTCCTTCAGGGGAAGCCAGCCCTACATAGTCGGCACCGCTACATCTACTGACCAAAGTTGAGTGGTACAATGCTTTGCTTAGTGTATGACGCTGAGCTGAATTTATAGTAGATTATCCTCGTCTATATTGTCAATTAAGACCGCTATTGGAGCCCACACGGCTCCCGCACGCCACTTCTCTGCGAAGAAAAAAACATCGGGAGGCTTCAGAAATGGGGCGGACAATCGCAGCCTTCAACGACAGAACCGCTGCCATCTATCGGTCTTGACGTTTTTTTTAGGACCTTGATTTTGTAGAAATTATTGGTGAAGTCCAGCTTAAATAGAAGATAGATATCAAAAAGTTATGGAGTAGTTACCTTGGCATAAAACCAAGAGTCGCACGGAGCAGAGAACAGGAAGCTCTGCTTTAGCTTTACACTTACCGTAATGTGGTGGGGATGCTCTGCAGATCGATGAAAAAACTGCATACTTTTTTATTTAATGCCCGTAATGTACGGTTTCATCCCGTATTTAGCTGGAATGTCTTAGTGGTGTATACGCCTTCTGTCCAATGCTAAATCCTCCCCAAGAGCCGGAGACTTGCGGAGCCGTGGATTTTCGCGTATCCAAGCGAAAGGATGGCTTCTGACGTCACATTTTTGTTGTATTATCTCCAAGTTGTAAAGTCTTGGACAGAAATTTGGTGAAGGCAGCGTTGAAAAACAATTAATCTTCATTTTCCACTTAATATATGGTCCATTTTCATTACAACTATAACTATGTGTATGCTCACGGGACAGGCATTTTCACATCAGTTTTCATTGTGTTTGTTCTCCCTGGCTACCTACCCCGTCAGGAGAGGTGGTTGTTTTGAGCGCGAGCTCGAAGCTCGACGTCTGGGCGCGGGAGTATCTGGCGGGCGGTAGGTGGGTGAAATGTGTGCTGATGAACAGGAACGGACCTGGGCACGGAAAGGAATGGGAAGGACTGTACTGAAAGAAAAGATTGCGTGTGAAATGACGGAACGATTCGGCTGAAACCTGTGAGCAGTATCCTCCGTAAAGTCGTGAGTGGCACGCGGCGCTGTCGAATGTTCTGGAGCGGCTTGTTTCCATCTCGCGTTGCACAGAGAGTAATTGTCATTTTCTGTACAGTGCATATTTGTGGAGAACAGAATGTGGGGCTAAAATACCAGGAAGCACTCAGATTTCAGACATTGATCCCGGTTCTTGAAACCTTGCCTTGGTGAGGGACGTGTCGTACGTCATGCTGCTCAGATGTGGTATTAAGTGCTTCCGAATATATGCCCCAGGTAGTTCGCAACATTGGTTCGCTTTCGGCCACCGTTACATTAATCGTGGTTGGTACTTTGTATAGTTTGGTTTCTGCATTTTCATGATACTACGTTCACTCTCGGCTTCAAAATATCTCGCGTGCTTAAAAGAGAGCACCACCTTTGGGGAATATTTCAAAACATGGCCGAATGCGTCTGGTGGTGGATCCAGGGCGATGGGGTTGTACCCCGCCTTGTGTCGAAGGAGCACCCAAGTCGTTATTTCGGATACAGAAAATCTGTATTTTTAAGACGCACCACATTCCATTCCATAGGCACCGCGAATGGGTTCAAGCCTTCAATTTTCGAAAGGCACTCGATTTCGACGGCATAACGATGGCACTCAAGCGTTACTTCTCAATGGGCGCAACAATGTGTCCCACACTGACGGTGTCCTGGTTTGGCCCCTCCGCAACGGGCACCAGAAATTTCATCTCGGGGGCACCATAGCCTTTATTGTCGAAGGGCGCTAAGTCCACTCGGGCTGTTTCAAGGGTCAAAAGCGTTCTTTGAAAAGAGGGCTCAAAATCCAAGCCACCAATATTTAGGGCACGTGATCATTACGTATCTCTTCTCTTGAAGGGTTTCACTCACACTTGCCAGCATTTGTTGCTCAAGCACTTTGGCCAGGTAGTGTATGGCAAACAACATGACCCGCGCGGTAAAGGCAAAACAAAAATGGAAAGAATTAGCTTGACAGTGGTGAAAAGGTAGTCCAGTGGCGTTTCATTCCTCGGCCAATCTCTTATTTGTTCAGGATATCGAGAAAAGTGATATTGCTGGCCTTATCGAGCGCGTCGGATCCAGCAGTGAAAAAGCACAAAAATGTGCGGTGCTTCGTTCGTTTCCTCATTCGCCATCATAGTCTTGAAACAAAAATGCAAAATAATGCACGAGAAGGCGCTGTACTGGGTGTAGCAGACAACCCAGGTGTGCGCGGCGCTATGCAGAGTGCTTCCGACGTTTTCGAAGTTTTGGCCCTAATGTGGACCCGTTCGAACGCAACCTTGCCTTTGTAATTTCGCCTGATTAAATCTGTCACACGGGTCCCGAGGCCTTCTGAAGCGCAATCAGTATACATGAATTTGGAAGTTCGCAGCACGAAATTAACACGCCGTGGTGTGATGTGGGGAGAGGGGAGGGCTCAATGCTCGCGGGTTTTGACACCAAATATGCGTCCCTTGCATTTCCGGTATCGGAGAAGCGGCGCTTTGAAAAACGCCGTGTACTGATCTACAGCTGGCGCGGGCGGCAACCGACGATATTTCGGGACGCTTGCGGCGGGCCGACATCGTTATGTTATGGTCAAAACATAAAACTGTACACCAGTGCGCTCAAAAGAAAAAGAGGAGCACGCATGTGTGCGCATGGTGCCGGTGCAAGACGTAGTCTTGTAGGTATGGGGGCTGCAAAGCTGAAAAGTTTACTTTCGGGAAAATGTGGACATTGACCTGACATAATGGGGTCAATGGTTGATCTAGCGAAGCGAATTATTCCACCAAGTTGGGGCTTACCTTTAAGGGGCTTCAGCTACGCTCTTAGTGTTGAGACGTCAGGGGTCGTATCGACCTCCACCCCCGTCAGTCCAATTTATGAAAAACAGCGAACCAGGACGAGGGTTTCAGCTAAATAGGCGTCCATCAAAAACTAATTGTAGCTGATCTTTCCGTGAACGGTTAAGTTGAATCGATGCCACTTTTGTGCATTCACCACCGATTCAAAAACGTCTTGAAAACACAAAAAACACTTGAATGGAGTGCGCCACACTTTCAGCATATTTCAAGATTATTTGAGTTAAACGAAGACCAGCTGCATCTAGTAATAGGACTGCATGTGCCACTGGTACCAGCAAGTTGAAAGCAAAGTGCGTTATTTGAATTGTGGTGTTGTTTTGGTGCGTTATGGACGAACGCTGTCATAGAACTGCCGGGCGGTATTCACTTCCATCCCCACTGGCACCTGCCAAGCTAGGAATGCACGACTTGCTGCGCGGCACGTTAAAGGAAATGTTCCACATATTAATATATTGAAGCAGACATCAAATATGATGCAATAAGTTCACTGGTATACTTTAAAGTGAAAAGACCATTCTAGACCACGCAATTTCTCTGTTTGGTAAATATGCTCCTCAATACGTCACTGTTTGAGCGCGTCATCGTACCGTGCACAATATCGAGTGAAAGCCAATTGACGGCCGTTAGGTCTGGAAATAGTGCTCACGAACGCTAAGCATGGACGATTCGAAAATTCTATTTTTCTTGGCCTTGATCGCCACGTGGCTAATGGAATGGCAGGATGTGAATGTCACTACGGCGTCAGAGATTGGACCTTGAAATAGTCTCCCTGAAAAGACGGCACATTTTCGCGTGTGTATGACTCATAAAATAGATCGATGTAAATTTTAAGAATGACAGG